CAAAGTCACAAATAGCACCAAGGGGAGCCTTGTGTTGCCCAGAAGAATGTAAATCGGCATCTTTCTCAAGTGCTTTTCAGTGACGGCACTCTGGGTTGTTTGTTGAGATGCAGAGGTACCATGACTAAAGATGTGTGTCCTTGTTTTCACCCACGCACAATAGAATGTTCTTGCCCCTTTTCATCTGTGTCCCCTTCTCTTAACCAAGCTCTTATCTGAACTCATCTTCTCAGCTTAGTTCCCTTCCCAACTCACTCTCTGGTTTTTGTTTTCCAGTAATTAAATTTTCTTAGTACATTATATTTAACGTGTGTTAGTGAATAATCTTATGAATTTTGAGGGTTTTTTGGGTGGTGGCTTGATTTTAAAATTATGAATTATAGCATATATTTTGTAAAGTGTATAAAAACTTGCATGTTTGGTTTAATGCTCAAAAATAAGATGAGCATTTGTGAATCTTGCCTCCCATGCGAAGAAATAGAATTTTCTCAGCATTGCAGGGTCCCTCTTTTCCGTCTGCAGCTGCATTTTTCTCTCATCTACGTGTCACACTGCGTTTTGTGTAAACCACTGTCTTCTGTTCTTTACAGCTTCGCGATATCACGATATAAATCCCTTGGTGTAATATATGTTTGAGCTTTTGGCTGATTTTGAATATTTTTAAAAATCTTGTTTATTTTCAGTTTTTATTTAAAAGACAGAGATTCAGACAGAAAGAAAGTTCTGTTGGCTTATTGCAGAAATGTGTGCAGGGGCTTTAGCCTGTAGGTGGGTGAGGCCAATGCCTGGAAGCTGGAATTCCTTCTGGGTCTCTCACACGGGTGTTAGGAACAAAGATACTTCATGCATCATCTGCCTCCCAGGCACTTTAGTAGGAAATGGGATCAGAAAGAAAGGTGGGTCTCAACCTCAGGCATTTCAAGATGATACATGGGCGTCCCAGTAAGGGGTTAGCCTACTGTGCTTATTAGCCGGCCCCTTATTTCATATATATATATATGATATATAATATAATATACTTATTTTATGTGTGTATGTATATATATAAATATATAAACTCAGTTTTATATCTGGGTGCTTATTCTTTATATTGATTATATGAGTTGTAATTATCCTTTTGTTCATAGCTTCTCTTAATCCTTTTATGGGACACTGTTGATTTCAAAGTTTAATTTATTCAGTTTTTTTGTTTGATCTTCTAAATTGCTAGAGTTGTGCCATTCACATTTATATCTTTAACTCATCAAGGATTAAGGAACTCTTCAAACAGAAGGGAAAGAGAAAAGTTTAAAGTCAAAGCCTCCCATGTACTCATCATTCCTCTTCAAAAAGTCCAACTTTGTTTCATCCTTTCTCCTTACTTTTTCTGGGAGGTTTTTAAAGCAAGTCTCGGCATCAAGTAATTTTGTCTATGAAGATTTCAGCTTTACTCTTTATCTGCTTTGGTTATCTAAGTTACTGAGAAAGATATGTCATTACAGTTTTTCATCAGCTTTTGCTTTGTTGATTTTTTGGGTTAAGTTTCTTTATAAGGTAGGCCATGTTCAGGTATAGAATGGGCAGGGAGGGGAAATGTGGGAGAGGGATTTTTTTTACTTTCATCTTGTGTCTTCAGGAAGAGAGATGGCACCCCTTCCTGCTGCCTGGCTTCTTAAGAGCCTGGAAAAGGGGGTAGTTACATGATACACCTCCAAGTCCCGGGTGAGGGATAATAAATACATCCTGGGGAAAGAGTCATTTGATTGACAGGTAGTTAGGCTGTATTACATAGGGCGGGGGATGTATAGCTACCAGTCTGGGACTCTAAGCCAGCTACCTGTCTGTCCCATTTCATTCCCAGCTCAGATTTCTGACCCTTATTCGTAAGAGTTACTGAAGGACGTAGGTTCTTTTTGTCTTCTGTAGCTACTTCCCTCTAGTTAGGGGTATGGGACTTGCAGGTCCTGGGCTTGAAAATCTCTCCCTATATCATCTGATGGGTCCATCTTACTAGCCAGAAAAATCCCAGCTAGTGCTACGTCGTGTGTATTATTGTTGCCACTCCAAGAAGTCATTGCCCTCTACAGCAGGCAAGTTCATAAATCAGCATGCACAAAATTGGAAAGAGACAAATTGCTGATAGAGCGCTCCCTAGAAAAGCAAGGTTGTGCTCTGTTGTTTCCTAGACATTGGGCGATGCCAGGCTGCCCCTGTGCAGATTGAAAAATCATCCAGCTTGAGTCCAAAGCCTGATATTATTGCCCTTTATTGTGAACACTCCTCCATCAGAGTGGAGATGACAGAATCCATCAATCACCTCACAGGCTGCACAAATCAAGAGTTAGGCTTCTTTCTATACTTAGGTCCGTAGGCCACATCAGTGTCTGCTATCATTATATTAGAGGCAGCCTAAATGGAGATCTTCCACCTTTAATGGTTTCCAGAGAGGATTGAGAGAAGAGGTAGAAAAAACACGTCTGCAAAAGCAAAGGCCCCATTATATTTTTGTCTTTTTTGAAGCATCATCTGAAGGCCTTGATTTGTTCACAGGAGCAGGCTGACTCATCATTTGTGCACATCTAGCCCTCATCCTCTCCTCTGCATAGGAGGCAGGTGGCACAGCAAGCACTGTGTGCTCTGATGCCAGAACACACACCCCCAAGTTCTGGTCCCTGAGATTGAAGATTGTTTTGTGTGGGAGACACTTTGTGGTGACACCACAGGCCATCAGTACCCTCTGTGCCCCACCTCCTGCCCAGGATCCCAGCCTAATATGTGGCAGAAATTTTAGGTGGGATGGGCAGGTTCAAGCTTCAAAAGCAGATTGCCTGGGAGAGAAACACTCCTGGAGAGCCCCTCTCTTCTCAGGTTTGTGCCTCCAGGGACCCAAGGACCTCTCAATGAGACCCCTCTTAAAGGTTCTGTCACCCCTCCTAAGACTACCACCTTGGGAAGCAGGCTCCCAGCACTCGAACCTTTGAGGGGACAAATGACATCTAAACAATAACAGTGACCTTGGTCTTCTTTCTGCTTACTTAAAATATTCTCCTTTTTGTTGCAAAAGTCTATTGATGGTGATGGCGGCAGGGGGCCTATGGTGGGGGGTGGTGGTCGTTCTTCAAATACCATTTGGGCTTCTTCAAAGTTTTGTGGGTTTTTAAGTTTTGGAAAATTCCAAGGGAAGTTTTGGAGAATATTGGCCTGCTTCATCCTCTTAACCCTTTGGAATATCATTCCAATTTTAATTATAATTTCTGATCCTGTTTTTCTTGTCTCATAATCCAGTCCTTTTCTCTTGAGGCTATGGCTTATGCAACCTCTCCACTCCTCCACTTCACTGCATCTCCTTTAGTCTAATCTGCTATGAAATCTGTCTGTTGAATTATTTTTTTCTGCTGATAGTCATGGTGTACATTCATGAAAATTCTGTGTGATTCTTCTGTGTGTGTATTTGAGAGAGAAGAGTGAGCAAGTTGCTCAGAGCCGTATCTGTAGAAATCATTGAGGTCTGAGAGAAAGATGAGTTTCTTTGGAAAAGGTTGTGTTTTCTTCTATCAGTTGTCTTGGGCCCCTTCTAGTTCTTAACCTGTTAAAATGAATCTCAGCCTTGATGATTAACTGAACAACCAAGTAGTATTTTAGCTTGTAATCACCTATGTGAGGGTTGGCTTGTGACTTTAAATTCTCACAGGAGGTGATTTTTTTCCTTCCATAGCTCAGAGCAGCCATTTTCTTTTTTAAGACTGTCCCTTTGGAAGGTGGCCACTCATTCCTATTTACCTTCATGTTGACGGCTGTGGCTTTTTGTGGTTCCCCTCCACTGGGCTCTCCTGCCTTAACACTGTAGAGGGCTTGGTGTTGTGGTCCCCTGTTCCTAGAGACCTGCAAAGGCATAGGTTTAATATTTGAATCTACCTGGGTTGGTATATGCCTTTCAGGTGAATATTAGAGGCCGAAGAGAGCTCAATTGTCCTTAGTTCCTGTTTCATTTGGCTTTGTCCCGAGTATTCTTGGCTATCTTACTGGTTATAAACACATGTAAGAGGGTGATTTATCTAGTATTTTCTGCTGTTCTTGGTGAGAGTTTTGGGGCTGGAAACAGGGGAGTCTTTTTCTGAATTGTTTTTATTTTCCCATTCTCAGATTTTACTATTTCTTAGGGAAATGCCACGACCATGCCTTATGCTTTCTTGGCCTTTGCTATACTCTTGAAAGTAGGATTTGTAGCTTGAGAATACATTTAACATTTCTATTCCACATATTTAGCATTCACAATATTTTTGTTTTCCCAACCACTTGCTGAGGTATGTTGTTGTTGTTGTTATTACCTGTTTTTGATTTAGAAGAAAAATATGGATTAGTGAATCTGGTAATTTAATAGAACTATAATTTAAACTCATGACCTTTGACCCATAATTCTGCTTTTTCATTAATGCTGTTGATGTTTGAACAGATCCTGATTATTTTATCTAGATAAAAAAAATTCTAGAGAAACCCCTGGAATAATATCTAACTAAAATTATCTCCAAGTCCTCATTTGAAAGAAAATTTTAATTTAATGTTCACTTTTGTTAAGCTTTCTTCAGTGACTTAAAACAATGCATTGTCTGGCCTGGCGCAATGGCGCAGTGGTTAAGGTCCTCGCCTTGCACGCCCGGGATCCCATATGGGCGCCGGTTCTAATCCCAGCAGCCCCGCTTCCCTTCCAGCTCCCTGCCTGTGGCCAGGGAAGCAGTTGAGGACGGCCCAAAGCTTTGGGACCCTGCACCTGTGTGGGAGACCCGGAAGAGCCTCCTGGCTTTGGACTGGCATAGCATTGGCCGTTGCGCTCACTTGGGGAGTGAATCATTGGATGGAAGATCTTCTTTGTCTCTCCTCTCTGTATATCCGCCTTTCCAATAAAAAAACAAAAAACAATGCATTGTCTGCTGTTACAGAAAGCAGAAAAATAGGAATAGTTGCTTTTATTTTTGCTGCCACAGTATTATAAAGATGTCAGTAATTGTTGTCTTTCCCAACAGGTGTGTATGTAATATTGATTGCAGTGGATACAGTCTTAATCCCGTGTGTGCTTCTGATGGGAGTTCATATAACAATCCTTGTTTTGTTCGAGAGGCATCGTGTATAAAGCAAGAACAAATTGACATAAGGCATCTTGGCTATTGCAAAGGTAAAAACTATTCTGTCCATCTAGGATGCATCTTAAATGCTTTGTTTCTGTGATCTCATTTGGCAAATCTCTGAATGTTTACTTTCTGTTGCTACCATGAATGTCATAATTTCTTCTGTTACTAATTTGAATATATTTTTCATTTATTTTTATCATCTCAAGACATAAAACATGCTTTTTGATCATTAATTTAGTTACAAGTATAGATAGTAACTACTATACGTAGAATTCCAAGGTGATCTCAAGTTTTCAATGATTATAGATATTTAATCCTTAGCTTATTTAAATTATAATAAAACTGTGTTCCCATCTATTTCTAAATTTATTTTTGTTTTAAAAATACAGCATAGTGATCTATTTTTACATTACCTCTGTGTAGTTTTTTCCATACATAATATATATAATCATAGATTTTGGTGTGAAGTTACAGAATAAATTGAAAAAAATGCTGCCTTCAACTGAAGCATGTTTGACCTTCTTGCTCTTTCTTATAGTTAAGAAACCATGATCCCCTGAAAGTTTTTGTTTTTCCTTGTTACTAGAAATATCAAGTCACTAAAGTTAGCTCTCAGTCTTCTCTCCTTGCCAGTTTCAAGGTTAACTGGAATAATGGATCAGTTCTTTGACACAGGAGGACCAGGGACATTCTCGTGGATTGGAATTTTTTTTTTTAAAGACTTATTTATTTTTATTGGAAAGGCAGATATACAGAGAGGAGCAGAGACAGAGAGGAAGATCTTCCGTCCGATGATTCACTCCCCAAGTGAGCGCAACGGCCAGTACTATGCTGATCCGAAGCCAGGAGCCTCTTCTGGGTCTCCCACGCAGGTGCAGGGTTCCAAAGCTTTGGGCCGAGAACCGGCGCCCATATGGGATCCCGGGCGTGCAAGGCGAGGACCTTAACCACTGCGCCACCGCTCCGGGCCCATGGATTGGAATTTTAAATCTTTATAACTTTCCTGCTAAATACTTCTACCTGTCCCCACACCCATTCCTTCCCTTTTTTGAAAAATTTGAATAGATGATTTTTTTTTTGTCCGAGATCAGGGAAAAAAGATAGTAAGGCCAAGTTTGGTATTACATGTTGGTAACTGGACAGCTGACAAAGGTGCCTGTGGTTTGAACTGCCAAACAGTCCTGGAGAAGCCTGTCAGAGGCTTTCCAGGTGGGAGCTGGGTGTCCGTGTTCCTTGTACGGAGATACCCAGCCCAGCTTTGATGTTGAAGAAGTGTGGCTTGGTTTTGTTTTGTGGTGTGATATTGAAACTTAGGTGTAAAGAACAGCTGAGAGGAAAAATATCTTTTCTGAGGAGCTTGTGCATGTTTGAATCATACTCACTATAATTTTAAGTTCAGAGTAATTTTCCAAGTGTGAGAATTTTAATGGAAATTCATGCAGATTTAGTCTCCTTTGAAGTGGTTGGTTCTCAAGTTTTATCTTAGTTTGCATACACCTGACTCTTCCTTCTCTTACTCTCTTTTCACTGTGCTGAGAAACTAAAGCCAAAGATGAAAGGCACTTATGGCTCAGGTGTGATTCACAAATGAAGGATCCTTTTTTAAATAGAGAATGTTCAATAATACAACTGTAATTTCGCGTTTCTCAGTCAGATGTTTCCAAACAAACATAGGAGAAAAGGCCAATCTTGAGGCCACTGTTGGAGAAGGGGGTCAACCTTTTCTCCTCAGGGCATGTGTTATCCTTGTTTGCACAAACAAAACTTATGAAGGAGGTGATTTTGAGCTGAAATCTTAGGGAAATTAAACTGTTATTCATGCAAAGAGCTTACATACCAAGGATGCATTGAGGCTTTGGTGGACAGGGAAATAAAAGACCTGGAGCATGTGGAATAATTGGGAGCTTCATTATGTGACTTTAACATTGTCTGTGTCTTAATTTGAGAACTGTTTTCTTTTATAGAGACAGATGATACTAGTTTGTTGGGAAAGAAAGATGATGGACTGCAGTATCGACCAGATGTGAAAGGTACTCAATTTTCTCGATTTTTGGCTAACTAGTCCTTACTGTACTTCATTCTTCTGTTTCCATTCTAACAACTTCTCTAGGTTTGGTCTCTGTAGTAATGTATGCTATGCAGCTGATTATGACTGAAACAGCTAAGATGCTTCCTTTTACAGTGCTGTCATATATTTTTTTTAGTTAAAAAAAATGTATTGAGGTAATTTTAGGTTCTCATACGTTAATAAAGATTCTGTGGAAGCACTGCTCATAAGAGGTGCCTTCAAAAATGTCATGGAAGGGCTGGTGTTTGGCTTAGCAATTAAAATACCACTGAAGGAGGAGGGAGGCGGTTTTATGGTACAATGGGTAACGCCACCATCTGCAGTACCAACATTTCTGTGGGTACTATTCAAGTCCCAAATGCTTCAGTTCAAGCTACATTTCTGCTGCTGGCACTTGGGAAAGCAGCAGATGAGTGTGGGCCTTGGGGCCCTGCACTGACACAGAAGACCTGGTTGAAGCTTCTGAATCCTGACTCCTCCTGGCTCTAGCCATTGTGGCCATTTGGGGGGTGAACCAGTGGATGGAAAATCTCTCTCACACTCTGTCTCTCCCCTCCCCTTAACTCCACCTTTCAAATGAAATAAAATATATCTGAAAAGAAAAAAAAAAGACACTAAGTTGTGTTTGTCATATACTGGAGTGTATGCTGAGTCCAACTCTAGCTTCTGTGAGCTGAACCTTGGAGCTCGAGTGCTCGAGTCACTGCCACCGATGTCGGAGAGGGCTGGATTGAGTTCTCAGCTCGCAGCTCTTGGAAACTTCATGTAGCAAACCAATGCATGGGAGCTCTGTCTCTCTGTCAAATAGTTTAAAAATCAGAAAATGTATTTTGAAGAACTGTATGTGGATTTTGAAATTTTTAGGTGCTAAAATACTTCTAATCTTTCAGTTTTATTTCTGTGAAAACTCTGAGGTGGCCTCATATGCTTTTAAAAGCATCTCTTTTCTAAAATCTACTGTTAGCCTTTAACCTCTGTTGCCTAGTTTGAACAGTGTTTCCTCTGTCTCACTAACTCCTGCTCATCCTTTTGGTCTCAACTGAGAAGTCATTTAGTTTCAAGAAATGTTCCTTGACCCTTACATCTAGATAGGGTGCCTCTAACACTTCCCTGTCTGGGCACTTACTGGGCACTTTACTCCATGTGTGTCCCCTCTGATTTAATCATTTTGTGGGGACAGAAGAGAGCATCTCTGTCCTACTTACATGCTAGACATAATGCTGGGCAAAATGTCTAGCACGGAGGCAGATGCTCTGTCCTTTGTCAAAAGAATCAAAGAAGCTATGGGATTTATTTGCACAAAATCTCATTTCTAGTAAAATTCAGAGCATAGGCTGTATTTAAGTTCCAGTGAGTTAATTGCTGGTTCACACTTGTTCCCCCTACACATTGTTGTATTTGATTTTTGTAGCTTCTCCGGGAAGAAGAGTACTCGACCAGAGGGAATGTTGAGGCTCAGTAAGACAAAGTCTAGCTAACTGAAGCACATCTAGGTCTTTGTTCTGTTCGATAAGGACTTGCATATAATTGCTCTATCACAAATGTATCATCTACCCATTTTGTGTTGATATCAATGAATATTTTTAAAAAAGATACATGATCTACTTTTTATGCCAATTTCCAAAAGAAAATGTAAAACAGATAATTAAATGTGGGTTGGGTGTTTGATATAGCCATTAAAGTTGCTGCTGTGGATGCCTGCATCTGCTGTCAAGGTGCTCAATTTGAGACCTAGCTTCCATGCCTGTGATCTGACTTCCTGCTAATGGACTACCTGGGAGGTAGCAAGCGACGATTCACATACTTGGGTCCCTGCCATCTGCGTGGGAAGCCCTGAGTTAAGTCTCTGGCTCCTGGTTTTGGCCTGGCATGGTCCTGCCTATTGCAGGCATTTGAGGCATAAACCACCAGATGGAACATCTATTTTCCCTCTGTTTCTCTTTCTGCCTTTTCAATAAAATGAAATAAAAGAAAGCCATGCTGTTTTAAAAAAATTTTTTTTTAATGAGTAATAGGTACCTCTTTTTGGATGAGTGTCTGACATGAAGGACAATTTGGCTAATTGGTTTCTTCCTTTATTTGAATTATATGAAATCTGAATTAATTATAATCAGAGTCCCTGACATGTCAGTTTCCTTTGTTATTACAAAGTTCTTTATTTAAAACAGGAAGCCTTCTTTGTTCCCATAGGAATCTTCATAGATGGGCACAGTTTTATTCTCTGTACTGGCAGGATCTGACTAGACAGGCTATTTTTCAGTTATTTCCATGTTCATTCTTAAGACAATTAAGGGAATTGCATATGCCCCAAACACTTGTGTGCTGTTTATTAAATTTCAGGAACTAATATAATTATATGTTGATAATTGGTGCTCAGGCCATTTATGAGATATTGAATTCTCTTTACCCATAAAAATTGATTGGCAGCTTAAATGAAATTATCCTAATCAGTGGATGTAATTTATTTTGTGATTAATTTAGACTAGTTGGTTTACCAGGCACCATTTGTGAGTGGGGAGCTATCTAATGCATGATGTGCGTCTTGAGTTTTTGATATAATAATAAAGGGATATAATTTTCTGATCTAAATCATAAATGGACTAAGTTTATTATTGTCATGCATGTCATACCAATAAAAATGTATTGGTGATTTGTTAGAATGAGATTCCTCTTTGTTGGAGGACAGTGAGGATCTGAAAAATATCATGGAAGATGTGGATATGGAGAGAAGCTTAAAGCATGGTTAGGATTTGAACCCAGAGTTCAGATAATGTTTAGGGAGGATAGAAGAGTCTGACCAGCTCCCTAGCTATCGGGGAAATACAAATAAAAACCACATTGAGGTTCCACCTAACTCCAGGTGAGATTGGCCTACATTCAGACCTCTGCTAACACCTGCTGGTATAGATGTGGGGAGAAAAGTACCCTCCTTCACTGTTTGTGGGAATGTAAGCTAGTACAACCACCATGGAAATCAGCATGGAGAGTGCTAAGAGAACTGAAAATCTGCTGCATGACCCAGCTATTTCACTTCTGGGAATATGTCCAAAGGAAATCAATTCTTTATATGAGAAATTGACCTGTATTCTAATATTTATAGCAGCAAAGTTTACAATAGCAAAGACATGGAAGCCATCCAAATGCCCATGAAGAGTGGGTAAAGAAACTGTGGTGCATTTACTCCATGGAATACTACTCAGTCATTCAAAAGAATGAAATTCTACCATTTGCAACCAAAAGGTCCCAACTATTATGCTCAGTAAAATAAGTCAATCACAAAAGGACAGATATCATATGTTCTGATATAAGGCAACTTTTATGCAAAAAATAAGATCAATAGATATATATGTAAACATGCATAGAGTCATTAAGAGGAACTGTATAATAGAGACTATGCTGTCGATTTGTGAACATACATACAGCATTAACCTCTATTTCCAAATCAAAGAGGGACTCCCAATGAAACTCTTAAATATATCTTGACAGTAGGATGCTAGATTCTGCCCATTCTACATACCTACAATGTCACAATACACTTAAATAGCAGGATGGTGAACTTATGACTGTTATTGAAGGACTGTACTATTGTAATAATATTGGGAAAAATCAGTGGGGGGAGCAGATTTGAAGAGGAGAACCTATGAAACTGTATCATAAAATAAATAAATTCTAAAAAATTTTTAAAAAGAGCCTGAGCAGAGTTATGAACACAAAAGATGTGATGCGGGAGTGATTAGGTATATTGTTTGGTGGAGGGAAGGGGACGTGGATGGTGAAGTAGAAGACAAGACTTGAATGGTAGCTTGGGGTTAGATTGTGTAGTACCTGGAACTCTGCCCTCTCCCAGGAAATGTAGATGTCCTTTGTGGATAGTACTTACAAATATGTCAAACCCTGCTTCTTGTATCTTCTAAAAGAGCAAGGACGCAAAGTTAGCCATTGACTGAGGGGTACCTGGAAAGAACACTGTGCTTATTATACACGTTGGAATGGAGCCAGGGAGGTCAATTAGGTCAGTTCGTAACAAATAGACATCTGCTTTGATATGAGAGGTGGAGAATTAAAAATGACTAAGGCTTAAGCTCAGATGACTTGAGTGGTGGATTTTATTTATAGAACTAAGCTTGTTGGCAGTGAGGTGGAAGGAGTGTCCGAGGGTGAGGTAAGGTAAGGATTGATGGGTTAGGGTTCTGCTGATTTTGGTTAGTGTAAGTTTGAGAGCCAGGCTGTCCTTGTATGTGGATTATTGAAGCTATGAGCGTGAATAAGGATTGTAAAGCTGCCCTGTCTTGCTTAGAAGCCACTGGTCACATGTGAGTATTTGAATTTCAATTGATTACAATGAAGTCTGACTAGTCCTATTTAAATTTAGTCGTTTATGTGACCAGTGGTTACCATTATAGATAGCACATTTGTAGAACCCTTTGTGGGTAAGCCATCTGGTACTGGGTTTTCTTCTCACGTCATCATTTAGAACCATGCAACCCTTTGTATTTGAAAACCCTGCGGCTGCTGGCGCATGCTCTGAAAGCTTCTGTGTCTGGCAGGAGCCACTGGGTAACCAAGGACACTTTGTGTCACACATACACTCAAGCATTGTTCAGACCGGTAGTGCAGTTGCTGCTCTTGGAGCCTGTCACCACTTGCACAAGGACATTGTTAAGTGGGGATTGTTTTGTGCTTAGTTCTTAACTGTGTGGAGGCTACCTCTGCCGTTCTTTCAGAAGCTGTGCTATGTGACAGCTTTAAAGCCCTTTCGTCTCTCTTTTTGGGTGTTGTCCTTGATCCAGGAAGTGATGCTTGGGCATTGTGATTTTGCTCATTTCATGCACATCTGCAGGGGTAGCTTGATGTGATCATTGAGTAAGAGCTTTCACTCTGGAGTCAGACTTGGTCTGCATGCAAAAGCTACAAGGCATGATTTCTCTGAGTCACATTGATCACATCTATAAAAATGGAGGC